ATTCGCCCAGGGCACCAAACAGGCTAGGACCGCCACTGGGTGAACATGTCCTGTTCTGACAGCAGCTGGGGGTGACTTCTGCGTGAGGACGATCCGCCGCCTATGAGCGCTTTGGCACGGGTTGCTTTTTAGAAAAAAAGTCGCTAAGTTGGCAACACTGTTTGTCAGTAGTTTTAAACCTTCTGTTTGCGAGGGACAACCAATCAGAATACACGCGCCTTAAAAAGAACAGGCAGGAAGCCACAACAGTCCGTTTCTGACAACGGTACCAAGGTTCAGTAAAGTAAGGTTAGTTTGAACTGTGAATCATATAAAACTAATCTAGCACAGAGGCCAGTAATAAATATTTGGCACTGATCTGGAAAAGAGCATAATCTTCTTTAAGGTTAAATCTAAGACACCAGCTCCTAAATTGTACATGCTGACTGAATACTACTGTGACTCTATCACACTGTATAGACCTAAGGTCTGCCTGTTTCCCCTTTTAGCCCCCGATCAGTTCATGAGCAGCAGTCTGTGATTTGGATAGACTCCGTCTTACTTCCTCCGTGTAGTGCATGAGTGCTCAAAGCCACCCTCTGGGCTGGGTTTCTTTGTAATAGCTGTGTGGAGATGCAAAGCTGCCAGACTTGTGATGATGCATCAGAGACCAGAAAGAGTTGAAGAGCATCAGAGACAGGGGCCTCTCTGTCCACTCTTGCGCACTCCTCATCTTCTTGCTGCCGGCTCGGTCTCTAGCCCACCTCCTTCCTCTCTCCCTCTCTATTCCAGCTCCAGTCTTCCTCGTCCATCCCCACACTCTCTCCCTTTCCCCTTGACTGCCATCTTGCCTCCTCTCCCCCTCTGTTCCCCAGCTCTGCCTGCTCCCTTTTTTTGCCCCGGCCCCTCGGTGCCTCTCTCCTTCCAGGTTTCTCCCTGCCTTGCCGTTCGTTCCGTGCTCCCTTTCTACCTCACCTTCGAGTGGTTTGACGATCTGAAGCTTGTCGGGGAGGTAGGGCCCTCGCGAGGCCCAGAGGTGGAGGTTTCCGAGGGACATGATGCTTTCGGATGGGGTTAAGAGACTCTCCTGGCCCAGGGCATCGTGGAGTCCAGGGTGTCCTCCCCGCCGTCGCTCTCGCTCCTCTTCAAAGAAGCGCCTTTCACTTAAATTGTTTTGTCGGCGCAAAGACAGGCGACGCAGAGCAAGCCGCAAGTCCTCTGCCCCACTTGCCTTCTTCTCCTGGCCCTCTGTGCTGTTGACAGAGCAGGGTTAAAACAAAAATCAATCAAATGTTTTAAAATAAAATCATTCTTGAGAAAACTGAGTTTGATTCATGCAGATGACAGCAGCTTATCTCGGTCTTACCTGTGCTGATTGGATGCTGTCTCCATTAGGATGCTCTGCGTTCGGTTATCAAGGGCTACATTTTCTCCACTAAGGTCACCTCCAAATATGCTGGAGTGGGGTGTGGAGAGACCACTCGATTGGGGTGACGTTTGAGCTGACAGGGACTGGTTAGAACCCGGGATGTTGGAGTTGGTTGGAGTCAGAGAACGCTGACGAACTGTCTGGTTAACATTTTTGACCGTCTCAAATACACGTTTCCGATGGACCCTGCACACAGTCAAACATAGGAGTATTATACTGATGCTCTTCAACAGTGGTTCACAAACCTTTTTACCTAAGTTACTCCCAAAGATGGACTCAAGAACGCTTCACCAAGGTTGCATTTATTTGAACTCTTAACATTAAACAAATCCCAACTTTAAGTCGAGTGTTTAAAGCGACTAACAATCAGAGTGAAGAACACCATCCACCATAGCCGTGTGAAAAAGAAAGTTTTCTTGTGACACTATGGAGTTCTGTGAACAACTAATACTCCATGTAGCTTATAGAACCATCAGTAATAACCTGAAGCGATTGTTTTCTCTGTGACTTAAGCCATCTCTCACATTGTTGTGGAGGAATTTTGGTCCACTCTTCTTTACAATGTTGCTTCAGTTTATTGAGGTTTCCAGGCATTCATTTGTGCACAGGTCTCTTAAGGTCTTGCAACATAACTCAGTAGAGTTGAGGTCTGGACATTGACTGGATCATTACAATACCTTGATTTTTTTCTTTTTCATCCTTTTGAACAGTTGTTGCTGTGCTTGGGATCATTGACACTAATGCTAAGATTTAGCTGAATTATGACCAGAAGTCTCCAGAAAGCAGTGGAGTCCAAGAAGTAGCTTTCTGGATTTTTGTGCAATTTCTTAAGCATTGCATGGTTTGAACTTTGGGTGATTTTTTTTGGAGGCCCACAACTAGGAAGATTGTAGTACTATGTTAACACATACCCGAATGCTACAGACCAGGAAACTGCCAGGAAAAGAGAGGTACCCACACTTGCTGATGATCAGTTAATGAAGTGCATTTGATTATAAGCACCTGGCTGCAACTTAGCCTTTTAACATGGTGTGCTTAGTTTTTCCCAGAACTTCATGACAGCGTAGTAGACAGTAGTGTCCATTATTAGCGATTTAATAAGGAATTTCTGTATGATTACCATTCATCAGTTACACTTCATTTCATTACACTTTACATTTTAACCAGTTTTTTTCTATTTTAAGCTACTACTTTATTATAAGTGTATTCATTAGGTTTTGTTACTATTTTTTTTTTTAACAATTTAACTATTATAGCTAGCAATTTTAGCTAGAATGATATTTAGCAGTTTAGCTAATCCTCTCCAACTGTATCAGATCTGGTATTTAGCACAAATTAACAGTGTCTGTGTATTTTAGCTATACAGCTTGATAAATAAAAGTCTGCTAGCATTAGCTGATAATTTAATACGCCACCTGTTCATCCAGACATGGTAACTTCAGGCTTCTAAAAAAGAACATGACAGTGGCTACAATGCTAATGCTAAATCTAAACATTTCCAAAAGTCCAAACTCAATAGGTGAGGTCACAGTG